GTCAGAATCCACTGGACAGCACACCACCACAACAAATTGTAAGAAAGTAAATTTCTGTACCTTAAAGCCACCCCCTTGTGGTATCTCTGTTACAGCAGCAGCTACAAAACTAAGATAAGGGCTTTCCTTACAATATTGTGGGTGGGTTGAAAGATAGAACCCATGCCGCGTGCCTCTGCCCCACTTTCTCTCTGGGACACTATTTTTCCATCTGAACTCTGAAGAGACCGCTCAGCCCTGACACTCTGAGATCCTGATATTCTGCAAGTCTTATTTTAGCTCAGCGCCTGGCTCCACACTCCGTGAGTCAAGTTGCGTGCAGCTCACACCCTGGTTTCTGTGCAAAAGGTCTCGCCAGGTTACGCTGCAGGCACGGGGGAGGTTTAGCCTCAACGAAGCTGGGTGAGGAGCAGACAGGAGCCTGGGGGAGGGGACGTCTGAAAAGCCATCTTCGTCTATTTGCACAGCCAGCCTGGGAGAGACCGAGCAGAGCGCCTCTAAATGAAAGGCGGAAGCGTCCCGCGGAGGGGTCTGCTCACAAAATATCAACCGAATTTAAGGGCTTGAATTGAGTTTCATTCAATTTCACCGAATTGATTTGAGTTGGATTGAAGAACCGAGTCAGGCTGCTGTGAAGGTCGTCGGGCTGAACTGAGTTAAACTTGTTGGAACAGGTGCGTTGGGTTGAGCAGATCGGGGCTGGACTGAATGGGAGTGGACTGAGTGGAGACGTCAGAGGCTCTGGGTGGTTGGTGCAAATACTCAATTGAAAGGTTGGCGGTTCGAGTGCACCCAGACGACCTCGGAAAAAAGGCCTGGTGACCTGCTTCTGAAATATGAGCTGTTGGAAACCCTGTGGGGCACGGTTTTACTCCGACACACATGGAATGCTATGACCTGGAACCGACTTGACAGTAAACGCTTTAAGTCTTCAGGGAGAACCTTACTCTGGGACTTTGGACCCCGGCACCAGCTTACTGTGGTATCTCGAGCAATTCCCTGCTCTCCTCTGGGCCTGCATTCTCCCATTTTTATCAAGTGAGTGGTAATAACAACCCCTTGG